GATGCATTTGTTTCATGATCTCATTAATGATAGCCAAATGGCGGCCGCTTTAAGGCCGAAAAATGCATTGAAATTGCACATTTTCACCATTCCGGACCTGGATCTCAGTTATGCATGGACGGATTTCGTTCAAATTTAGTACATACATTAAACATAATAGGACCTTGATGCACGTCATTTTTTTGGGGGGATCGGGTTTGAAATGGCCGACTGGCGGCCATTTTGTTTTAAAGAATTCAGTTCTGGATCCGTATCCAAGACATGTCTGGATTGATCAAATTCAAACTTCACACACACATGGTACATCATGTCACAAATATGTACGTGCATTTGTTTCATGATCTCATTAAAGATAGCCAAATGGTGGCCGCTTTAAGGCCGAAAATGCATTGAAATCGCACATTTTCACCATTCCGAACCCGGATCTCAGTTATGCATGGACGGATTTTGTTCAAATTTGGTACATACATTAAACACAATAGGACCTTGATGCACGTCTTTTTTTTTTCCCGGATCAAGTTCGAAATGGCCGACTGGCGGCCATTTTGTTATAAAAAATTCAGTTCTGGATCCGTATCCGAGACATGTCTGGATTGATCAAGTTCAAACTTCACACACACAAGGTACATCATGTCACAAATATGTAGATGCATTTGTTTCATGATCTCATTAACGATAGCCAAATGGCGGCCGCTTTAAGGCTGAAAATGCATTGAAATCGCACATTTTCACTATTCCGAACCCGGATCTCAGTTATACATGGACGGATTTTGTTCCGATTTAGTACAATGTGTTGTACATATGCAGGTGCATTTCGGTCATGAGCTGCTTTGAATCTATATGTCACTCAAATATGAACGGAACGGGGACGTGTCATTGACAATGACTTGTATGATTTGTTTTGCATACAGGTAAACAGTATGATGAGAGCGTAGATATATTCTCATTTGGTATTGTCATATGTGAAATAATTGGACGTGTAAACGCCGATCCAGACTACTTGCCAAGAACCCCAGAGTTTGGTCTCAATGTGGAAGTATTCAAGAGAAAATTTTGCCAGGATTGTCCTGAGCCTTTTATTCGAATTGCTGAACTTTGTTGTGAATTGGACGCTGATCTCAGGTAAGTAAAAGAAAGCTTTGTGTCAGTATGTTATTGAAGCAAGTTACTGTTGTGTCTAGCCTGTAATGTGAATGGAAGATGAAATACAGTGAACTGTTTTTATTTTGCTCGTTATTTTCATGAATTATACGAGTCGGTGAAATCATGAAATTTTATAGCAGTAACAATTTCTCAGACGTGCTACAACAAACACTGTCAGCAACTTTTGTGAAATTTTGTTTTCATGAATGCCATAAAGTTATTAAATGGCGACATTTCAGCAGTTTACATTATTGGAGATCTTTAATCTACAGTGTTATTTGTTTTTTTGGGGGGGGGGGGGTGAAGCAGCTTGATTAATTTTTATATGAAAATTTACTTTAAAAAAAAACCAAGAAAAACAGAAATCAAGAACTCATTTTTGAGTCAAATAGTGTTGTTTTTGCTAAAATACTACACACACAACTGCCTATGATTGAAATAAAAACCTGCATATTGTGGCAGTAAAATAGTGTTGCACACAAGTTAGTAAATGCAACACCCATCATAGTAATACCATTGTGTACTAACAACTAGTCTTTCCTTTCTATAGACCCACTTCAGAAACATTGTCTAAATGGTTAGACAGTCTGGCATTCAATATGGAAAATGGCAGTGAACTCACATCGCTATTGGAGAAGTTAATACCAAATGCACAAGTATCACAACCTCCATCCAGCCTGACAACAATAAATGAATCCAGGTGACAGTTACTATGACAACAGTTAAATCGTTGTACACTTAGCTTCATAAAAAATATTATGTACTTAACAAATATGATCTGCCACTAGATGTTTCCTATATGTGAATTTACATAGATGTATTTTTTTATGAATTTAATTTATTGATCAATAGAAAAATGTCTGTACATATTTTGTATCAAATTACATATTTATAGATGTAAAACTTAAAAAAGAAATATCTATATTTGTGCAACTACTGATTTCAGTAAATGTGATCAACTCTACTTTTGATGCATTACCAGTAGACAATATTGGGTAATGAGTCACATGTTTTTTCTCCCGGAGGCTTGCATAGATTGTAAAATACACTCTGTTAACAAAAAAGCAACCCAACCAGCAGTATTGCAATATATTTCTTTTTTGATATCAGCTTACCAATTACAACTGTTACATTTGAACTATCAATATTTCTATTTTTGTTTGCAGTACTGCTGGTTTAGTGGATTTTTCATTCACAATAAATGTAGCCTGCGTACCCACTCCCAGTTAGTTTGGTCTTGCATTATTATGATAAATATAGGCAAGCTGCTAATCTGAATGTTAATATTCCAAACGACAGTTAGCATACTGTAAAATACTTTATTTTAGCTGGAATTAATTTTCGCTGAAAAGACATTTTTGGTGCTTTGGGATTTATTTTCACTGATTTTTGACAAATTGAATGTAAAATATAGGAAAAAGGTATATTCGCTGGATCATTCCTTCAGCGAAAATAAAGTATTCTACAGTATTTGCTCTATTATTAGTCTTTTTTTATTCCTTGTTTTGTGAGTTTTTATAAGGCAATTTTTTTGAGGACGAAAAATAAATAAAGTAATTCTTTTTTCCCATTAGATTTATAATTGAGATCATTGATCGGAGAGAAGAAATGAAATAAAATTTTATTCCATGTATAACCTTGTTTCTCATGATACTCCCACGAAAATGCAACTTGGATTTGTTATGCGGCGGGCGGTAACAAAAATGAAGATAAAAATAATATTTTTTCAGCATTTGTTTTGCGCTTACAAGTCGGCGGGCCCAAGAAATTACGCTGAAATGAAATTATATTTATTTCATTTTTGGCTCCTGTTCATTCGGCGGGTTCGCGAAACAAGGGAGAATAAAAGTCTGGCCTCGGGAATGTGCCCAGTTGTGTTGACGATCAAAATATGATCCAGCATACAATAAAATAAATACTGTATTGGTTTCCAATGGTCACCAAAGAAATGCGACTTGTGGGTACCAGACATTCTTAACTACAATATCACTATCTGCACATTTAGACCACTATCAGTTGGCTTACAAGTGTAATAGTAAATGCAACTAAATTTACTATATGGGGGCAGCCATCTTTGCCAAAAACAGTAAAACAAAGCCCCAACATTCCCAGCCAAACAATCTATTGGGAACATTGCATATTTAGTTTATTTGTATTACCATTTTCAGCCAACTGATTATAATTATTAAATCAACACGGCTCGACCATGAGTGTAGTAGTAATTTATTACAAAGTGCCTTTGTAACTATAGATGATAAAACTGTACAGACTTTTCAATAAGTGTTCGTTATATTGAAACTTGCAAGAATTCTATTTTATTATTGTGAATATTTTCGTATTATTTGAATGATGTATTCGAACAGAATAAAATGTTACAAACTCGTTAACATGGTGTCTATATGCAAATACAACTTAGTTCATGAATATTCATAAGTTGATCATTATGTATGCAAGCCACATTGTAAATTTTATGGAAACCATAGCAACAAATTCCAAATGTCCTTAACTTGTACACAGATATCTTATCTTATTCAAAAGGGGACATTAGTAACTTTCTTCAGAAGAAAGTATCAAAATGTATTTTATCAATGGTTTGGATTGGCTAATTTTAAGTCGAATAAAGCACACCTTGTACCGGTTGTAATGTGCATAACCCTTGAACTGCCAGGTATTTTTCCCGCCCCAAATTTTGTAAAATTTCATCATCATGGCCTATAACAAATATTGCATTTAGTTTTTGACCAAAAAGTTAGTCAATTATCAGACTACACACAAATGTTGTTGCTACGGTAGTTCCAAAAGTTGACAATGGCACTCAACCTAAAGATAGGGGTGTAACATTTATCCCAATTTACACGGACTCTAAAAGAAATGCAATTTACTCTATGTTTACGATAAACAAAAATATTAGGTTATTTGGATTTTTAATCTCGTCATATTCTTTTTAAAAAATTCTGGCAGTTTGGTTGAAATAAATAGATTCCTTCCATCTCTAAACTGTGGAATGATCAGCTGTTTAGCATGCAGATGCATTGGTACAGTCCGCACTTTAGCCTGTCTTATATTGAGTCGTTGTAACATGTCTCCTGGCAATTTCTGAAAAAAAATTCAAAACAAAATAATTTCAAAAAAAACGTAGCATGTTATACTTACTTTATCAACATGGCTGATATGAATCTACGTAATCAAGGGTTGTCATTGGTCAATTCTAACAATAAGTGACACATAATATAAATAAATGTTGTAAATAACATTTTGATAACATTTTTATTTTTAATGTTTGTAGCAGTAAACATTTCCGTGAAATTGTTTGTGCAAATGCACTTAATTTTTTGTAGCTCACACACTTGTAAAATTCTTCTTTTTTTGTTAAATTATTCTTTGGGTCATTTTCAAAGAAAAAATAGGTACATAAAATAATTCAAAATGGGCACCAGATCAGGCATAACATCACAAAGTCATTAGGGGACCCCCTAATTTTAATTTGCTCTTTGTCATTTGACAGAACCTTTCGCACAACAAAATATCAAGAATTTGTAGTGCTCTTAAAATTCCCAAATTTTTTACTAGGTAGCCATATTCCGAACATCAAGAATATTCCTAGCAACAAACAACGTTTGTAAGTACCAGTACACTGCAGCAGTAAATTATTCAAAGGTCCGTGGTTATCACAAAAATACAATTGCACACACCTCCACGGAAACAACTCTGCCAGTTAGATATAGTACATACAGTGAGTTTATATTGGTAGATTAAATTCATTGGACCCACCACCATTGAATGAATCTTCCCCAGATAAAGTCGCATACTGTAGAATACTTTATTTTCACTTGGAATTTATTTTCGCTATTTTCGCTGAAGGGAAGATTCTGTGAAAATAAAATCCAGCGAATATACTTTTTTCTATATTTCACATTAAAGTCATCAAAAATCAGTGAAAAGTGAAAAGCCTTTTCAGCAAAAATTAATTCCAGCAAAAATAAAGTATTCCACAGTATGTATTTGGAACACTGGTGGGTTATGAGAATATAAATTTGTTTATCAACTCAAAACACGTACATGTGTGATGTGATTACCGCTGACCGTTAATAAAGTAGTATAATAGAAGTTACCTGTGGTGCTAGTTTATCATGATGGGAATATTTATGATCTCCTAAAATTGGACATCCTAAACCAGACGCTAAGTGACATCTTATTTGGTGTTTTATACCTGGAAATATAAGGAATCATTTGATCACATTTTAAATTGATGTGAATGATAAGCTACAAGTAGTGATGTACTGTAAAATACTTTATTTTCGCTTGGAACTAAAAATTCAAAGAATATACTCTTTTTCATTTAATTTCATTCATTACATTTAACTCGTCAGAAATCAGTGAAAATAAATTTCATACAAAACACCCAAAAAGTAATTTTACATAATTATACATCTGTCACCGTAACGCCATAAGTTACAGTGTGCCGTAATTTTGCGGTATTTTACGGGGTGTTTTCATACTACCATATTAGGAAATGCGAATTCCAAATATGAGATGATTACGCGCATAAGCGTCTTCTAATAATAAAAACAAACATGGCTGCCATCAGGATTTGACCGGATTCTGTTCTAAACTTTTTGGATTTCGGCATTCCTATGATGTATCCTTGGAAGAAAAAGATGTATAATAATAAGGTTATTACGAAAATACCTCAAAGTATGCCTATAGATGGATGGTCTTTATATAGAGGTAGTCACTAACTCAAGTCAAATAACAGTGGTCAGGCAACAAGTACCCAAATCGCATGAGAGTTGCTGTTGATTTGGATGGATGATGTGGGCCATATACAAACATATAATCCTATGGTGTTATAAGTGTAGGAATTCTTATGTACAATGTTGTGTTAAACATGGTGATACAAAATATAAAGGTGTGGCAGTCGGTGAAAACATTGTGTGAAGATGAACAAGAGACAGCAGCACACATCTATGTCTACACCATACCGCCCATACTAAAACTGTTCTTATCCTCGGGGGCGGAGCTACGTCACAAGACGTTCCACGTTGCTACGACGCGCACCACTGTACATGCATTTCTATGGGCTCTGTGCGCGCTGCTGTGGAACGCCGGTCGAGCCGGTGAAAATTCGAGAAAACAACACAAACTCAACTTTGAAGTAATCCCGAACAACCAAATTTATATATGTTACACACGTAGGGCTAATCTTGTTACACTGTTCAGAGGAGTCTCAACAATCATCCCAAAATACCATTTTCTGCGAGTTTTGGGCCATTGTTTTCACCACCTCCGGTTGCCAGGCGGTGAAAATGCCCGGATGTCCGCCCCCGAGGATTTCTCACTTGTCCATTACCTGTTTCAGGCTGCAGTTCTACTAATGCACAATTTCCTTCACTTGCGAGTACTTTAAAATTTGTAAGAGCTGTAGCTCCTTTACCAGAACTGGATTTTATCAGATTTTTGTATACCAATCCATAGTCAGGTCGTAATAACATCTGAAAAAACACAAACAATAAATCAAGGCATCACAAGAACAACTAAATAACAAGTTACGATATAAACAGGAAACAATTTTTGTAAAGGATACAGTGTTCTTTTGTGAAATCAACAGATTTTCATGAAGTATATACTGTGATATCGTTCCATTACCAATAGTCTTTCATGGAAAATAACCTCTGAATAAAGCTTTAATATTAAAGGGTGGCAGTCGTCGTATCGCGTTCTGTTCGATATGAGACTCATATCGACGTATACAACGTGTGTAAAATACATTGTTTATTTAAATGAAATTCGAACACGCGCTGCGCGACGACCACCGCGCTTTAAGTAAACTTACCCTGTTTTTGCCAGCCACTTCACCCTCTTCCATGGGAATATCAACAACACCTGTGTACAAACAGTCATTACCAATATTATTAAAGTGTCAGCTTGCTAGTTAGTTTGTTTAGCTCGTGCCAGACTTCGTAAGGATTGAAGGCTTACAGATTAGAACTTATTCTTCCATACATCTCCAGTCAACTCCCAAAAATGCATACACAAACTGCTTTGCCTTGAAAGATTGCACCTCATACACAAGGTGAATCATGTAATTTTTATTTATGAGTAGCATTCTACCTTTAATTTACAGTTAAAAATACTAAACTAGAATTACAGTATCATATGCACAGAAAGTCACAAGCCACTGATTGATTTGGTCAGTTTAAGTATTGTTTGATGAACAAGCTACCAACCTTCACTTGGTTCAGGAACACCTACTGTTAACACCCTATTCAAACAATTAAAACATGGTAAATATTAATATTTCATCACCTAGGCTCTTGTAGAGATGTATCTCCAATAGAAGCACATATAAACAACAAGCAGCCTGTCGGCTGAGATAGCTCCGCTGTTAGCAATACACATTTCAATTAAAGAACTGAAGATATCATTAGAAAATGAACAACATGTATAATATCAAAGAAGTCAGACTTGCAATTTTCAACAAGAAGTCGAAAATATCACTTTTTACCAAAAATGACAAAAATATTCATCAAAATTAGAGAATTGAAAATATTATCACAAAATGAACAAATCTGAGAGAGGTCCACCTACATGTATAGTACCTATATATACATTATCAAAGCAATCAGACTTGCGGCTTATGCATTTATCGATTTACTTGATTATTAAAATATGACTTATTTTGACCATAGACACATCTATATCACACACATTTAATAGTGTATTGTACTTCTAATCGACTAAATACTTGCTGTTCAAATACTGGTTTGGATAACTTACATGTAATAATTTGTACAGGTTTCAGAACAATTCTTGGCCAAATTGTTTGATGTGTGTTTGTGTGAACAGTAAAACATCAAAAGAAAATATTTCTGGGTCAACCATAACTTTACGTTTGTCATTTCAATGAACTTGGCCCAGGCATGTCAATCAATTTTTTTGTATGTAGAATTCACTTACCAATATCTTTTTATAACCATTTTCTTTCTAAATAAAGCATTCAGTTGTTTGGCTATAATCTCTGATTTAGCTAACAACATGACACCAGTTGTTTCTTTATCTAGCCTGTGTACGAGGTATAACTTTGGTAACGATTTATCTATTAACTTTGCTAATATTGTTAGAGTATCGTTTACATTATTAGTTATGGTAGGCCCACCTGTAAATAATGAAATAAACAAGATGTCAATATTTGTGTCACTTCCACGTATGGGACTTCGTGACAGAGCCGTGAGACCATCTTCCTATCACAGTAGAATTGAACACTATAATTGTTCCTAACAACATTTTGGTATCTTTTCATGTTTTTCTCACCAGATAGCTGCAGTTTTGGTCAAAACTTTTGAAAAAATGCGGGTATATTTTGTGAATGGTTAAGTTAATTTTTCAAACCTTGATGTACTAACCAATGATCAACTACTGTAGAATAATTTATTTTCGCTGAAAGGATGATTCCGTGAAAATAAAATCCAGCGAATATACTTTTTTTCCCATATTTCACATTAAACTCATCAAAATTCAGTAAATTAAATTCCATACAAAAATTAATTAATTCCAGCGAAAATTAATTCCAGCGAAAATAAAGTATTCCACAGTATTTCCAGTAGATTACACATGTACAGGTTAAGGAAGGAGTCTTGATCAATCCTCACCCAGGTCATAGGTCAATTGCCTTCTGGTGATCAATACCAGATAAGATTGTACTGTGCAGCAACTACTATCAGTGATTGGTATAAAAACAAGACGTCTTGTATGCAGGGAGGGGGGGGGGTCCAAAATTAGTTGATTTTAACTTTTTGGAATTAGCTTACCATGCGAAGGAAGACCGTATGGTTTGTCAATAGCAATTACATCATCTGAAAAATAAAACAAAACATTTTAAGTAAAAAAAATTTAAAGAAAATTACCCAAAAAATTATAGAGAAAAATATAAATAGGTCAAATCTTGCACCAAAAGATTGGTGAGAGTCAGGACATTAAGTGTGAAAGTCAGGAGTGAGAGTCAGGACATTAAGTATGAGAGTCAAGGCATTAAGTGTGAGAGTCAGGGCATTAAGTGTGAGAGTCAGGGAATTAAGTGTGAGAGTCATGACATTAAGTGCGAGAGTCATGACATTAAGTGCGAGAGTCAGGACATTAAATGTGAGAGTCAGGGCATTAAGTGTGAGAGTCAGGGAATTAAGTGTGAGAGTCATGACATTAAGTGCGAGAGTCAAGACATTGAGTGCGAGAGTCAAGACATTGAGTGCGAGAGTCAGGACATTAAGTGCGAGAGTCAGGACATTAAGTGCGAGAGTCAGGACACCAAGTATGGGAATCAGGACACCAAGTATGGGAATCAGGACATTAAGTGTGAGAGTCAGGACATTAAGTGTGAGAGTCAGGACATTAAGTGTGAGAGTCAGGACATTAAGTGTGAGAGTCAGGACATTAAATGTGAGAGTCAGGACATTAAGTGTGAACTCACCATGATCATAGATGATGCGTTCATGTAGAATCTTAGCAACAACAAATGGAGACAATCTACTTAGATCTTGTGTTTCATGACTGCAAACTCTAAATCCCATGGAGTCTGTTTGTTTCGGTGATGACTGTGGCACTGAAACAAAAATATGTATCATTATTATCACTTTGTGTAATTGGGTTGACCCCAGTTAACTCAAACTTCAGTCAGATATCTTAAATTGAATTAAAATTTGTGTACATATCCTAATACAATAAAGATAAATGAGATAATATTTGAAATAAAATTGTCATTTTTGGTTCATCAAGTAGAAATATACTAGATATATTTGAGACGCATAACAATAAAATAACATAAAATAACAATAGTTTATTACCACTGTGATATTCAAAATGGCACCTATATCCAAACCTGGTTCAACACTTCAAATTTACTAAGACTCTTTTTCAACACAACTGTTTAGTTTAGCAATTGACAATGTTATGACAAATTTTTCCTATTTTTCATTATGGCAGAGCTCCAGAA